CCTGGGCTTGTCAGGTTTAGTATGTGGCCCCTCTTCCGCCCACAGGGGGAAGAAAGGTGGGTGTGTGCGTGGCCTTGGAGAGAAGGGAGCAGGCCATGGCAGTGGGTGCTGAGGGCGGAGCAGCATGCAGGTCATGAAGGGCCTTCTGAAGCCCTGCTGAGGGGTTGGGAATGGGAGCCACTGACGGGTTTCAAACAGGGCTTTTAAATGAGATATAAGATTTAATAAAAGAGTTCTGGCTGCTGTGTGGCTGACTACAGGGACAGGACGAGAGTCAGAGGAACCAGACGAGGCTGAGAGGTGACCTGGGCAAGATGAGTGGGTACAGAAACCAGCCAGTGACTCAGTCTTTGCAAACTCCACGCTCTCCTCGAGCAGGGAAGGATTCGTGGAGGGCCTACTGTGAGTTGCGTTCTCTCATTCACTTGTGTGCCCTGCAAAATGTAGGTGAGCTAATTGGTTACCCTCATTTTATCCATAGGCAACTGAGGCTCTATGAAGTTCAGTGTTGACCCCGTCAGAGTAAACAACACAACTGCTCTTCAAGCCCAGGTTTGCATGGCCCGAGCTCACCCTTTCCAGTCAAACCTCACAGGATCTGATAGACTGTCACTGCCTGTCAGCCGCATGTCACTGGCACACTGTCACGAGTAAGATCGACAACCCAGAGAAAATGAATCTCAACAAGCACCCACCTTGGGTCGGCCCCGCCAGTAACAGGAAGAGCAGAAATCTGTGCTCCTCTGGTTGTCCCCGTCTACCTGGCCCAGTGCTGGGCACTCGTGAGCAGAAAATCTGTTCCTCCCCTTCACACACTGTTCCATTCAGAGATTACCAAATGATTTTAAATCATTCCTCATCCGATTTGAGCACATTCGTCTTGGTACTCAGCTGTTTTTCACGCTCAACTTAAATGTGGTTCAACATAGTTCGCAAAATGGTCTTGGATCATAAACTAAAGACCAAAATGTGGGACATTCAAAACAATTTAGGCCTCAAATTACACAATTTCATGTCATTGTCGAGTCTACAAATACATTCTTGTGTTGTCTCCTCTCTGCTCAGGGTCCTCATAACGTCTCCTTGGTTTTTTAAGTGAGGTTCTGGATACTTATTTTCAAGACCTCGCTCTTTGAGTTCTGATGACACCTCCCCTACCCACAAAGAAGCCCCTTTCTTCTCTGATTATTAAAATCTCCCTCCCAGGATCGGTCTCCAGATCTTTTCATTACTCTTACTTCCACAGGTCTGTAACTGCCTCTCCATAAAGGTGCCCACCATGGCCCCCATCCCTCCACCCTCCACCGTCCACCCTCCACTGACTCTCAGAAAGGAGCACACTTCCCACAGAACAATTTAAGACCAAGCTTAGGAAATCCACTTAGTTCCCAGAGCCCATGATAGGTGCAGTTGCAGGTAATTTGGGTTCTGTCCAGCAGAGCAACAATTCTTGTCAACTTAGCTTTCATGGGAAGATGAGACCCTGGGACCCAGGCCTTCCAATGGCAAGCAAGTAACAGCAAACTTTCTACTCGAGTTCTCCTGGGACCAAACCACTTATAAAGAAGGTGCTTTGAAGGACATTTTAATCCTCACAACTGAGGTATTTATCATCTAGAAGCACAGCCATTCCCATGTGGCCACGTTCACATAATGAGCTGAGATCTGCTGAGTTATCAGGCTTCTCATTTATAAAATAAGACTCCACACAACAATCTGGGCAGGTCCTAAGCCAGAGGAGAAATCTGTTTTAACCCAAAGGATAGATTTTTAATGGGGGAAACTCTAGGTATCATGTTAGCCGTGGGTAAGAAATTCTGTGCAGGAGGCCCCTGCCTTCCAAACACTCTTGCTTTGCCCTTGTTTTGACCTTAAGAGCTTTTTTTTTTTCCTTCTTTTTTATCACCTCCATGTAGTTGGGTACAGGTGGAGATGACTCAAGGAACTTTCCATGCTTGATAGTGAATGAAATACAGTTTTCTCAAAATTCCTTTGTTGCTTTGTTCAGTCTTTCGTCTAATCAGCACACGTTTGTTTACTTGGGCACCAGATCCTCATACATAAGGGACAGTCCTGCCTTAAGTAGTTTAGACTCTATCAGAGAAGCACATTTTCGGGGTAAACAAGTCATTTCAGTACACGCAGCTAATGCTATTGCCGAATTATGTAAAAGGAGCCCTGGCAACACAGAGACAAGGGCGTGCTTTGCCCAAGGGATTATGGGTGGTTTCCTGGACATTGCTTTGAAGGAGCAGTTTGACACTGTCCCCAAGAAGTGAGGTGAGAGGTGCGGCGTGGGAGGAGGGCGGTTTAGGCAGAGGTAGGGCGACCAGCCACCCTGGTTTGCCCGGACCCGAGGGGTTTCCTGGATGCGGGACTTCATTGCTAAACCCAGACGGTCCCAGGCGAGCCCCGATGCTCCGTCCCCCGGGGAGGGAATGAGTGCCAGTCATGAGAATGGTTAGGTTTCACCACGTTTGCAGGAATGACCTGTTCTGTGCAGCCAATGGTCTTTTGCTTTTCAGGGTGCTTTATTTCTGGACCAGCAAGAATTGCACTTGTTATAAGCTATTTATACTGAGAACTTCAAATCCACTTTCTCAAACAAAATATACCTCATTTGCTCTTCTAAACAGTGAAGTCCTTAAGGGGAAATAGAGAACTGCGATCTGTTATCACCTTTGTCATCTCCCCCCTCCCTCTTCCCCTCCCCTCT